TGCTATTAGTAATCATGTGAATTTGGTATTCGTTCGATATTTTGATGAGATGTATGTTGTCTCTCCTCTAGTGGTGTTATGTGAACGTCGACTACATGACACTTCACCATTATTTGGGCCTAGAGGAAGGCATTGAGAAGTAATAAGTAGATGATGGGTTGCTAGAGTGACAGAAGCTTAAACCCTAGTTTATGCGTTGCTTCGTAAGGGGCTGATTTGGATCCATATGTTTCATGCTATGGTTAGGTTTACCTTAATACTTTTGTTGTAGTTGCGGATGCTTGCAATAGAGGTTAATCATAAGTGGGGATGCTTGTCCAAGTAAGGGGAGTACCCAAGCACTGGTCCACCCACATATCAGATTATCAAAATACCGAACGCGAATCATATGAACGTGATGAAAACTAGCTTGACGATAATTCCCATGTGTCCTCGGGAGCGCTTTACATCATATAAAAGTTTGTCCAGGCTTGTCCTTTGCTACAAAAAGGATTGGGCCACCTTGCTGCACTTTATTTACTTTTGTTACTTGTTACTCGTTAAAATTATCCTATCACAAAACTATCTGTTACCTATTATTTCAGTGCTTGCAGAGAATACCTTGCTGAAAACCGCTTATCATTTCCTTCTGCTCATCGTTGGGTTCGACACTCTTACTTATCAAAAGTACTACGATAGATCCCCTATACTTGTGGGTCATCAAGTAAATATGAGGCCTTAATGTTATTGTGAATGTGGTTAGTTCATAATCCTTGCTGAAAACTTGAATGCTGGCTTTACATATTTACAACAACAAGAGCAAACAGAGTTTGTAAAAAAAATTCTTTATCACTTTCAGTTTGTCAACTGAATTGATTGAGGACAAGCAAAGGTTTAAGCTTGGGGGAGTTGATATGTCTCCGTCGTATCTACTTTTCCAAACACTTTTGCCCTTGTTTTGGACTCTAACTTGCATGATTTGAATGGAACTAACCCGGACTGACGCTGTTTTCAGCAGAATTGCCATGGTGTTATTTATGTGCAGAAACAAAAGTTCTCAGGATGACCTGAAACTCCACGGAGATTATTTCTGGAAATAATAAAAAATACTGGCAAAGAATCAAGGCCAGGGGGCCACACCCTAGCAACGAGGGTGGGGGCGTGCCTGCCCCCTAGGCGCGCCCCCTACCTCGTGGGCCCCCCTGGAGCTCCACCGACCTCAACTCCAACTCCATATATTCGTGTTCGGGGAGAAAAAAATCAGGGAGAAAGATTGATCGCGTTTTACGATACGGAGCCACCGCCAAACCCTAAACTCTCTCGGGAGGGCTGATCCGGAGTCCGTTCGGGGCTCTGGAGAGGGGAATCCATCGCCGTCGTCATCATCAACCATCCTCCATCACCAATTTCATGATACTCACCGCCGTGCGTGAGTAATTCCATCATAGGCTTGCTGGACGGTGATGGGTTGGATGAGATTTATCATGTAATCGAGTTAGTTTTGTTAGGGTTTGATCCCTAGTATCCACTATGTTCTGAGATTGATGTTGCTATGACTTTGCTATGCTTAATGCTTGTCACTAGGGCCCGAGTGCCATGATTTCAGATCTGAACCTATTATGTTTTCATGAATATATGTGAGTTCTTCATCCTATCTTGCAAGTCTATAGTCACCTACTATGTGTTATGATCCGGCAACCCCGAAGTGACAATAATCGGGACCACTCCCGGTGATGACCATAGTTTGAGGAGTTCATGTATTCACCATGTGTTAATGCTTTGGTCCGGTACTCTATTAAAAGGAGGCCTTAATATCCCTTAGTTTCCGCTAGGACCCCGCTGCCACGGGAGGGTAGGACAAAAGATGTCATGCAAGTTCTTTTCCATAAGCACGTATGACTATATTCGGAATACATGCCTACATTACATTGATGAATTGGAGCTAGTTCTGTGTCACCCTATGTTATGACTGTTACATGATGAACCACATCAGGCATAATTCTCCATCATTGATCCATTGCCTACGAGCTGTCCATATACTGTTCTTCGCTTATTTACTTTTCTGTTGCTATTGTTATCATCACTACAAAATACCAAAAACATTACTTATGCTACCATTACTTTTGCTATCGTTACCACTACTATCATATTACTTTGCTACTAAACATTTTGCTGCAGATATTAAGTTTCCAGGTGTGGTTGAATTGACAACTTAGCTGCTAATACTTGAGAATATTCTTTGGCTCCCCTTGTGTCGAATCAATAAATTTGGGTTGAATACTCTACCCTCGAAAACTGTTGTGATCCCCTATACTTGTGGGTTATCATCCCCCTTCGAGGTCGTCTACGGATTCAACCCATTGTCCCCATTGGACATTCTCCCTCTACCACTACAAGAGCGCATCAATTTGGACGCAAGTGCACGTGTGAACCATCTCAAGAAGGTGCATGAAGATACAAGGCACACAATCGAGCGCCACGTACAACGACTTGCGACCAAGCTCAACATCAACAAGCAACCCATGGTATTCGACATTGGTGATCTTGTGTGGCTACACCTTCGCAAAGACCGCTTCCCCACCGAACGCAAGTCTAAACTTCTACCTCGAGCGAATGGACCCTTCAAGGTGCTCGCATGCTACAACAACAACGCTTACAAGCTCGACCTCCCGCGCGACAAGTACAACGTGAGCGACATCTTCAATGTCAAGGACCTCTCGCCCTACCATGGTGATGAAGAATTTGATCCGAGGTTGGATCTTCCCCAAGGGAGGGGAGATGATGCGGAGCATCCCAAGGTCATCCCCATGGACCTACCTACGTCTCCTACGACACCACTTGGACCTATGACAAGAGCCCGAGCGAAGGCTATCGAAGATAAGGTGAACTCACTCCTCTCCGAACTACCACTTTCTATGCATGAGAATTGGCTACTACCTCAAGCGGAAAACCTATGTGTGATCAGGTGCTTGGAGGAAGGCCCTGGACCAACTACACTCAACGGACAAGACGGTGAGGACGCCAAGTTCAATGGACAAGAAGAAGAACTGCTCGAAGCTCCCAGGCTCCGGTCGACCGGCATGCTACGAACGTACGGCGACCTCCAGGCTCCGGACGACCGGCCCTCTCCGGACGACCGGCACACCCACACCCGAGCCGAATCTACGGATTTCCGGAGCCTTCCGGACGACCGACGCCCTGGACGTCCGACCGAAGCCCACCCAAGCCGAATCTACGGACGTCCGACAAGCACCGGACGTCCGAACCCTCGCGAGCCTCTGGACGATCGGTGACTCCCGGATGTCCGACGCCTGTGTGTTGTTTACGTGTTAGGCGCAGCCTATGTACCCCTTCGCCCACCTAGACTATATATACTCTTTTCCTACCTACGTTTCAGGGTTAGCAAAGTATTAGCTCATATTTCGTGTGAGAGCTTTGCTCATCCACTTGGTTACCTTCTCCTCGGAGATAGCGCCTCGTCGGAGAAGATCCCCAAGCGGATTCAAGACCCCTTTACGAGAAGAACCTCAAGACCTCCTCACGGAGAAGACCGGCCACCTTTGTATCGTCCCTAGTTGACCGTGGATCGTGTGATCTCTTATGTACTCGAGGATCTAGCACATGTGTGACTATTTCTTGTTGGTTTAGTGATTCTCTCATGTTTCCCCTCGTATTTTCCCTTGTGTTCTTCGTGTTCATCGCGGGATCCGCTCCTTTCGTGAAAGATCGGCCGATTAGGGTTCTACCCTACATCAGAGTCTCGTTGGTGCAGTCCCTTGAGATGTGGCGATCGTCTCTGCAGTTGTAGCAGCAGTCGTGGAGGGTGGTTGGTATGCGGGCCCGTGACGGGCGTGTGGTGGGAAGGTTGGCGACAACCGCGTGCCGGTTGGTCTTGGTCTGGCATGCTCGCCCATCTGACCGTGGGGGAGGGGGGAAGAAAGCTCATGCCAGCCTCACCCTGAACGATGGGGCCAAACGCCATGCTAAGCACCTCGGGGACGACGATGCCAGAGCGGAGGGCCAGCCCCAAGCGCGGGGAGGACCCCCCCCCCTCCCGAGGAGGAGGAAGATGCCGAGAGGGAAACCCTTGAGACCATCCTAGAGAGGGAAGTGGATGCCGACATCGGAGTGGTGGCCGCCGGGGCCGGGGTGGCGGCCGGCGCTCAGGAGAAGAGGGGGAAGCGCTCAGGAGGAGAGGAGGGAGATGCAGCATGTCAAATGTTGGTTCGAACTGTGTTTGGTTGTCCTGAAAATATGTCTACTGGACTGGATCGATTACTCTGGATCTTGCTTAGCCTGAGTTGTAAATTCCGGTACCTTACTGCCTCGGCCAGGCGTCCGAGTTGAGTAGCCTGGCCTGACACCCATTCTAAGAATAATCTACTGTTGCATACGAAATTTGTTGACTTTTTGTCCATTTAACAATATTCTAGGTCAGGCTATGATCAAAACAGCTCTAGTCCAGGCTAGCCTGACCAGGCATGAAGACACTTAAGTATTCCTTCGTTTCAAAATAGACGACTCAATGTTGTATTAAGTTTAAAGTTAGTACAATGTTGAGTCATCTATTTTGGAACGGAGGGAATATCAGACAGACTACGAGGCATCAATTTTTTCACGAATCCTGGTGTTCGCATTTATTTCTGGATTTATTTCAGGATTTCCGACGATGCGCATTTAGTGGGAGGAGACGTTCTCGTCGACGACGAGGTGTTCATAGGGGTAGGGTGTGCGTGTGTGTTCATAGGGATGAGTGTATGCGCGTGTATATGAGCGCTTGTGTCTGTACTCTGATGTTAAAAAAAAACTTTTTCACGCACAATCATCAGGACACCATCCAAACTGACCCTTTATCTTCCGCGATAGGCTGGGCCTGACCACGAGTCGAAACCCCAGCCACCATCTCGTTCTCATCTTTCTGTTCCACTGAAATTCCCGGGGAACAAACACTCACTTCCAAGGATAAATCCTCAAGGTTGATTTACACGCTAGTGGCTGTGCCGCGACGTGCGGCGAGAGACATGTCTGTGCAGTGCACCGCAAACTCACTCCGGGCTCTTGCTGCCCTCCCGGCGCCATCCCCCTCCCGCCGCCTGGCGAGAAATGAATTCCTTATGCCATGCCGCCCGAGTCGCACCGGTGCGCTGGTCCGAGCTGCGGATTCTTCGCCTCCTGCCGCACCCGCGTCATCGTCCGGAGCAGCCGACGACAAGGCCGTCATCCCCGACGATGAGTTCACCCTCGCCAAGGTGAGTGGCTTGGTCGTTTCTTGGTTCTTGAGAGCCAGGAGCAACAAGCAAGTGGTAGCGCTGTTTTTCTTAGAATTTGGCGTGCGTTTGGTGCTGAATACCCCTCCATCTGCAGGTGTCTTTTGGCGTGATTGGACTAGGGATAGGTGGCTCCCTCTTGTCGTAAGTTCAAATGTTGCAGATCCTATTGTGCAAATCAGAGAGATCCAGAATGCTTTTCTATCGGTGGCTCATGCGTTTTTTGCATCCCAGGTATGGATTTGGGGCGTATTTCAATCTTCTCCCTGGTTCGGAGTGGTCTGCTCTGATGCTAACCTACGGATTTCCTCTCACAATCATAGGCATGGCCTTAAAGGCAAGAACTCTCTTCGATTAATATTAGTGCTTCTGTCAGTTATTTGTCTTTTAGTACCAAAAGTTATGCGTCTTGTGGATTTATAGTTGAAAATATCTTTTGAGATGATTGGCCATGCTTAAGGTCCTTGGGAGTTTAGGTTAGACTGTTTATTGATTTATTTGTCGAGGTATGTGTTGATTCTTGAATTATATATGCAGTATGCTGAACTGAAACCAGTGCCCTGCATAACCTACTCTGATGCTTTCGCTCTAAGAGAGAAGTGTGCTACCCCTATCCTCAAGCAGGTAATAATTATTTATGAGCTCTTGGACACACAATCTCTCCTTCCACCGCTGCACTCGATCAAATGTCACCATTTATCAATGATGTGAATATGTGATCAAACTGTCTATGTCGTGTTTTCTTGTTTGGATGAAAACCAGGCCGTGTAGTTGGTAAGTTCGCTGATAGTGGAGTTCTAAATAGGAGTGCAATGCGTTAAATGTTGAAAAATAGTAAGTGAAAATGTTAGCAACACACTCTCTATTCCTCACCAATGGAGATTACAGCCATGGATTCCTCAATCTCTACCAATACAGGGAAGAAGATTTTTTTTTTTTGGAAAAGGAGGTTATCCCCCGGCCTCTGCATCGGAAAGATGCATGCAGCCACTTTATTAAAAATCCGATAGAACAAAGTCTGGAGTGCAAAGTACTGCTCACAAAGCGCAGTAAAAATAAAAATACAAGTCTCAAAGCCGCATCCGGCTTAACGAGGATCCACTAAGGACCAATCCTATGCAGTGATCGCCATCCTAACCGGTTGAAAAAAACCCGAGCTGCCATCTCCCATCGGTTGCACCCAGTAGCCAGCTGCTCCCTGGAGTCCGTAGGAGTGAGTAATGAGCAAGTACGGATCCATGACGTAGCCCGGAATATAACCTGCAAGAAATTAGTCATAGGTTTTCTGTTAAAAATTATATCATTCCTACAGTTCCATATAGCCCAAATAAGTGCACATATTCCAATCCGAATATTACGCGCGAGATGTACATTCACTCCATCAAGCCACGTCCCAAACGACATCTCTATGCTATTAGGAGGTGAAATATTAAAGGCTACATGCACCGATCTCCAAAGTAACTTCGCAAGCGGGCAATCAAGAAAGAGGTGTTGTATTGTTTCATCCTGATCACAATAGCAACACCTCGAGCTACCTACCCATCTCCGCCTGAGTAAGTTATCCTTGGTTAGGATCACTTGTTTGTGGACAAACCACATAAATATCTTAATTCGTAAGGGTACTTTAACTCGCCAAATATGGAGCGATCGCGGGATTGGGCCAGAGTTGATGAGATCTAAGTACATAGACTTGACTGTGAACAAACCATTATTCGTGAGCTTCCATCTAAAAGAATCCTCCTCATCGGAGAGGTGTACCTCCATTAGCCTCCTCACTAAGTGCAGCCAAGAGTTCCAGCGTTCCCCAACTAGAGATCTCCTGAACTGGATATTCAAGGGTACTGTCTACATCACCGTTGCCACGTACTCTTCCTTACGTTGAGCAATATGATACAGAGACGGATATTGGAGAGCTAGCGGCCTATCACCTAACCACGTATCCTCCCAAAACCTTATTGTTGAGCCGTCCCCGACACTAAACTGCACCCTATGGAAGAAAGTATCCTTCACTCGCATGAGTCCCTTCCAAAAGGGTGAATCATTAGGTCTGACAGTAACCTGGGCTAGAGTTTTGGAGTGTAAATACTTGTTGCGTAGAATCTGGGCCCACATTCCTTCGGAATGCAGCGATAGTCGGTATAACCACCTATGTTTTTAAGGCGTCGCCTAATCGTCGCCTAGTCGTCGCCTAAGCGTCAAGGCGCCCCAGGATGGCAAGGCGTCTACCCCGCCTTAGACAGACATGAAGTGTACGGCTGTGGCTGCCCTAGTTCTGGCTGCTCCTGGGGCTTGGAGATGACGGCCCCGCTGTCTCCCGGCACCATGAAGAGGAGGGAGGACTGGGGGCTCCTGGGGCTTGCTGCTATGAGGGAGAAGGGTGGGGCCATGAAGAGGAGGGAGGGAGGACCAGAAGGGTATGGCTTCGTGGCGGCTGTGGTGGGAAAGAAGGGAAGGAGATAGTGGAATTAGGTCACGGGGGTGTATATGGCCACTAGATGGGCTTTTGGGCCACTGGGAGGTGCATAAGTAGTGGCCCATCTCTCAGCCATTGCTCTTTTTCTAGTATTAATATGTGCAGACCTATTGATGACTCTTTTCCTGCAATGTTTAAGGCGTCGCCTTGCCTCGCCTTACCGCCTCGCCTTGGCGCTTAGGCGTCAGAGCGGCCCTCCTCCGCCTTATGACGCTTTACCGCCTTAAAAACATAGATAACCACTTACTCAACAAGCATTTATTTTTCACCTCGAGGTTTTCAATCCCAAGACCCCCCTGGTCCTTCAGTCGACAAATAATATCCCATCTTGCCAGGCGATATTTTGTCTTAACCTCGTCAGATTGCCAAAAGAATCGAGATCGATAGAAGTCTAATCTCTTGCGTACCCCTTTGGGTACTTCGAAAAAAGACAAGAGGAACATCGGCATGCTCGTGAGTACCGAATTAATTAATACTAGCCGTCCTCCATATGACATAAGCTTACCCTTCCAGCAGCTAAGTTTCTTCTCGAATCGATCCTCGATACATTTCCATTCTTTATTAGTCAATTTCCTATGATGTATTGGAATGCCAAGATAACTAAAGGGTAGCGATCCCAGTTCACAACCGAATAGTTGCTTGTATTCTTCTTGGTCCTCTTTGGCCCTTCCAAAACAAAAAAGCTCACTTTTGTGGAAATTGATCTTCAGCCCCGATAATTGCTCGAAAAGACATAGGATGAGTTTCATGTTACGAGCTTGAGCAAGGTCATGTTCCATAAATAATAGTGTCATCCGCATATTGTAAGATGGATACCCCCCCCCCCTCCGTCCACCAGATGGGGGACTAATCCACCAATCAGCCCCTTTTCCTTGGCCCGGCCTATGAGTACTGTCAACATGTCTGCCACAATATTAAACAGTATTGGGGACATTGGGTCACCCTGCCTCGGGCCCTCATGCGTTCGAAAATAATGGCCAATATCATCATTAACCTTTATTCCAACACTGCCTTTCTGGACAAAAGAATCCACCTGATTCGTCCAGGACTCATTGAAACCTTTCATGCGCATAGCTTGCTGTAAAAAAGGCCACTTGACCTTATCGTACGCCTTCTCAAAATCCACTTTGAATATCACTCCATCAAGTTTCTTCGAGTGGATTTCATGTAAGGTTTCATGTAAGACAACTACCCCTTCTAGTATGTGTCTTCCAGGCATAAAGGCAGTTTGACTTGGTTGCACCACCGAGTGTGCCACCTTTGTCAGCCGGTTGGTGGCCACTTTTGTAAAGATTTTGAAACTGACATTCAATAAGCATATGGGTCTGAATTGTTCGATGCGGATAGCCTCCTCCTTTTTAGGTAGAAGAGTGATCGTGCCAAAATTCAAATGGAACAGTTGAAGATGGCCATTAAAAAGATCATGAAACATAGGCATAAGATCATCTTTCACAACATGCCAACATTTCTTCTAAAATTCTGCCGGGAACCCGTCTGGTCCCGGTGCCTTGTTTGGTTTCATTTGATCTATCGCCTCAAACACCTCCTTCTCAGTAAAAGGAGCAGACAGGATCTCATTCTCCTCTGACTGCAACTGAGGGATATCAGCCCGTACACTCTCATCCAGAGTCACGGTGTTATCTTTCGGAGGACCAAACAACTGCTTGTAATAGTTGGAGATATACAGCTTCAAATTCTCATGTCCAACAACCGTTTCCTCATCCTGTTCTAGCTGAATGATTTTTTTCTCCTATGCTTGCCATTCGCAATCATATGAAAAAATTGTGTATTGTCATCCCCTTTTACCACCTTAAGAACTTTGGCACGCAATGCCCACTTCATCTCTTCTTCTCTAAGTAACGAACATAATTTGGCCTCGGCTTCCGACTTGCAAGCTTGCTCAGTCGGGTCCAGCAAATTCGTTTCCGCCCGTATATCTAGCGTCTGAATTAACTGGAGCAGCCTCTCCTTCTCTTTTTTATAGATCCCACTCTCATTTTTAGCCCAACCCCTCAGGAATTGTCTTAGGTGTCTGATTTTGTTCTGCCAGCGTTCCACGCTAGATGTGCCATGCACTGGTTTAGCCCACTCTCTTGCCACCATCTCGATAAGATTCTCTTTTTCGAACCAACTTAATTCGAACGAGAAAATATTTTTATTACCAATATGCGTGGCGCTCCCTGAATCAACTAACAGGGGTGTGTGGTCTGAGATCGCCCGTTGCATCGCGTGCACCGACACTAAGGGGTACTTCTGTTCCCATTCCACACTCGCCAGAACCCTATCGAGCTTCTCGTACGTAGGAGTAGGAAGAGAATTTGCCCAGGTAAATTGTCTTCCTGAGAGTTCAATCTCCCTAAGGTTAAGACTCTCAATGATCATATTGAACATAAAAGACCACCGTCCATCAAAATGATCATTGTTCTTTTTGTCCTTCCTCCTAATGATATTAAAATCACCTCCTACCAGAATTGGCAATCTTTCATCTCCACAAATCCGTACCAGATCTGCTAAGAACTCCGGCTTAAACTCTGGTTGAGCAGCCCCATATACTGCCACTAAGGCCCAACGGAACCCATCCAATTTGGACCTAACCCTGAACTTCACCGTATATTCTCCTCTTACTACATTTATAACCTCAAAGGTTTCACATTTCACTCCCAAGAGGATCCCACCGGATCTCCCTCTTGGCGGAAGGCAGTGCCAATCAAAGGCCACTCCCGCTGTAAGTGAGCCTAAGAATTGTGGCGTGAAGTTATCTCTACCCGTCTCCAGAAGAGCGATAAACTCTAGTTTATCCTCTAAAGTTGTTTCTGCAAGGAACCGTTGCTTAGCCAAGTCTGCCAGACCTCTGCTATTCCAAAAGATCCCTTTCATAAATCATCATGAATTTTTTTCTTGAGTTTCACTCTCGCACTCCTACGGACCGCCGACGCTGGATAGACCTTCCTCTTCCAGGGTCGTTTAGGTTTATTCAATCCCGGCATGTCCGCATCAGGAGCCATTACTTCCGGTGACCCCCCGCACTAGAGGAAGAGGAAGACAGAAGCAGAGGAGGCCGAAGCCGTCCTGTTCCGAGCCAAGTTGTTCGTAGCCCGTTCACTTGTACTAGATAATACCCCGCGCGTTGTGGCGGGACTTTCTACCTTCT